GTGCCCGAGTTTCCGAATGGTCAGTCCGCTTTCTAGCAGCTTGGGGCGGGTGGGTGGTTTCTCATGCATGGTGTGTTTTTTCATTTTATTTGTAGGTGGTTGGGGCAAGAGGGGCAGAGGGTGGGCATGTTGACTCATAGTGTGTAAGCATTAGCTGTTAGAACAGACAGAAAGTTATTCCCAAACTAGAAAACCTGGAACGTTCCTTCCTGATTACAACAACGTAAGAACCTGAGAGCTTCTAGAATGACACCCAAGGATACAGGTAAAAAAATATTTCCAAATGTATCAATCGTATAATGCAGAAAATTAAATGAACCACATATAATGCTCAATACAGTATTTTTTTTTTGGGGGGGGGGGGGACAAACATCAAAGATCACAGATAAAAAGTTGCAGTCAACACGTTTCATAGATAACTCCACTTCATTGGGACCAGCAGTGAAAGCGTTACAAGACATTGATGAAGTTCCATTGATCTCAATATATTGGTGCATTGATGGCAACCTGGATGTAAGGTGGGCTCAGATGGGGACCCAGATGTGAAGAGGGACTCCTAAGATGGTCTTTAATGTATGGGGGCCTCTGATGGGTACCCTGATGTAACTGGGGACTCTGATGGCGACTGTGGTGTAAGGGGGCACTCTAATGAGGACACCTGATGCAAGGGGGAACAGATGAGAACCTGATGAAAAAGGGGGACTCTGATATAAGGGGGCACGGTTTCTTTTTAATCCTCCTATTCTAAAACAGCCTAATACATACTAGTGTTTCCCAAGCAGGGGCGGACTGACCATTTGGAAACTCGGGCACTGCCCGAGGGCCGAGGGTCAGTAGGGGGCCCCATGAGATGCCCCTGATACCTTTTTCATAGGCTTTTTTGAGTTTGGGCAAGGACACAGGGGCCCCATGATCCCCTATTGCCCGGGGGCCCCATGAGTTGTCAGTCCGCCCCTTATTCTCATCACATACCAGAGGAATAGAATGACACTAATAAGCGGTCCTTTACACAGTACACCATTCCGAGGATTGGTCAGGACCCGGATCTGAACCTGCAACCTCTGCTGTGTCTGATAGTAACTTAACTTGTCAGTCCGCCCCTGTTCCCAAGTTGTGACACAGTGTGACAGACTGTCAGTGACTCCCACAGTGTTGACATTCTGCCCCCTGTCTTTTTTTATTGCACCCCCAGATCAGATAGGCTAGATCTGACCCTGCTTCTGGGGACATTCTTCACAAGAGGAATTGCAGAACTGATGTTCCATGATTTCCTGCTGCTTTTGCTGTGGAAGTTTCCTATGGTCCCAGGCTACCCAGAGGGAAGGGAGAGCCCAGGAACCACCGTGATGCCGACTGCAGGTCAGCCCCAGAAAAGTGATCACATTTATCGAAAATGCCCTTCCTGGGCTCCTAGAGCCAGTTCCAAGCAACAGCTACAGCAGCAGCAATCTTGATTTAACCACTTGTCTACCATGCCTTGGCAGCAGGGGCGGACTGACAACTCATGGGGCCCCCGGGCAATAGGGGATCATGGGGTCCCTGTGTCCTTGCCCAAACTCAAAAAAGCCTATGAAAAAGGTACCAGGGGCATCTCATGGAGCCCCCTACTGACCCCAGGCCCTCGGGCAGTGCCTGAGTTTCTAAATGGTCAGTCCGCCTCTGGCTGCAATATAATAAATGTTTTCTTTTGGGTATAATACTGCTCAGGGGTGGACTGACAACTCATGGGGCCCCCGGGCAATAGAGGATCATGGGGCCCCTGTGTCCTTGCCCAAACTCAAAAAAGCCTATGAAAAAGGTACCAGGGGCATCTCATGGGGCCCCCTACTGACCCCGGGCCCTGGGGCAGTGCCCGAGTTTCCAAATGGTCAGTCCGCCCCTGCTTGGCAGACAAAAAATATCACTTTTACGAGCTATTTCTACTTTTTGACACACAATTTCAAGCTTTTCCAATTGGATTGCTCTCCTCTGATTGGAATCTTACAAATTGGAAGCTTTCGCTGAGCAGAATCCATGGAATGAGGTCCCTCTTTCGTTCCACGGCGGCTATCAGACATTCTCCCCAATTGCAGGCGGACTGCATGGCCCATAAAACACGTTGCTTAACTGCAGTCCATTTAAAGGTGCGGTTCCCCTTCCCTACTGAACGGTCTGCAATGAGCCGTGCTACAAATGTGTTGTCACAGCTTAATGCCAGCCAAAGTGTGGAAGTGGAAAATCTGAATTGCAAATGCTAACGATGAAATTAGCGTTGTTATCACATTATATACAATAAAGTTTGGATCCGCTGCTAAACCTTCGCAGAGGGAAACTTACTTCTTGCTGTCTGGGGGTGGCACATTTCCCTGCTTTGCATTGGTGGTCAGTGGCAGTTAAATGTAACCCCCATCCCACCCTTGACTTTGTATTGGTAGTTGTGGCAGTGATATTTTAACCCCCCCCCCCCCCCATCCTCACTCTCCTGCATTTATGGTCATGAAAGTGAAAAATACCCCCCCATTGGTGGTCAAGGGTGGGGGGGGGGTACATTTCCATTCCATTGTCCATCAGTGCAAGGAGGGGGGATTACATTCCCTGGCTTTGACCACCAATGCATTGGGGGGGTGGGGGGAGTAATAGTAGTACTGAGACTAGTGCTGGGGATTATTATGTCCACTGATGTCAGTATTGGAGTTTATTATTCAGTCCCTTCACACCAATTTTGGGGGTTATTATTGCATCCACTGCCAACAGTACTGGGGTACCATTGCATCCAGTGGCACAAATGTTCTGAGTTTTTATTGCAGCCACTGACATCAATGTGGGGGGCTGTTATTGCATCCACTGATACTATTATTGCATCCACTGACACCAATGTTGGGGGTTATTATTGCAGCCACTGACACCAATGTTGGGGGTTATTATTGCAGTCACTGACATCAGTTTTGGGGGTTGTTATTGCAGCCACTGACATCAGTGTTGGGGGTTATTATTGCAGCCACTGAACATCAGTGTTGGGGGTTATTATTGCAGCCACTGACATCAGTGTTGGGGGTTATTATTGCAGCCACTGACATCAGTGTTGGGGGTTATTATTGCAGCCACTGACATCAGTCTTGGGGGTTATTATTGCAGCCACTGACATCAGTGTTGGGGGTTATTATTGCACTGTCATGACACCAATTTATGGGAATTATTATTGCACCACTGACATCAGTGTTGGGGGGTTATTATTGCTTCCACTGTCACCAGTGCTGGGGGGGGATTTTGCATCACTGACACCACTGTTGGGAGTCTTATTGTGCACACTGACACCAAGGTTGGAGACTATTATTGCACTCACTGTCACCAATGCTTGGGGGGGATTATTGCAGCTCACTGACACCACTGTTGGGGTAATTATTGTGTCCACTGACACCAATATTAGGTGCTCTTATTGCACTCACTGACACCAATGTTGGGGGTTATTATTGCAGCCACTGACATCAGTGTTGGGGGTTATTATTGCAGCCACTGACATCAGTGTTGGGGGTTATTATTGCAGCCACTGACATCAGTGTTGGGGGTTATTATTGCAGCCACTGATACTATTATTGCATCCACTGACACCAATGTTGGGGGTTATTATTGCAGCCACTGACATCAGTTTTGGGGGTTATTATTGCACTCACTGACACCAAGGTTGGAGGCTATTATTGCTTCCACTGTCACCAGTGCTGGGGAGGGGGGGATTATTGCACTCACTGACACCACTGTTGGGAGTAATTATTGTATCCACTGACACCAATATTAGGTGCTCTTATTGCACTCACTGACTCCAATGTTGGGGGTTATTATTGCATACACTGAAAACAGTGCTGGGGGTTATTATGGCTTCCACTTTTAAGGGGGCTTATAATTGGCCGGTTGTTGGCACCAAATCATTCAAACTCACTCAACCACCCCGCTTCTTCTTGGAAACCCACTGCTGGAAGTGTGTTAGTCTTCGCTATATTGTGCCAACTCGTTTCCATAGGTCTTCCCACAACATCCCTGACCATTAGCCTTTTATATTCACAAGAAAGGAATGTCCACACAAGGTTATAGTTTCCGCACTTTACTGTTGGTCATCAAAGATGGCAGCGACACATCACATAGACATACCATCCAGTGTCGCTTGACATACTTTGCCAATCACATATAATGGACAGTCCACAGCAGTCAAATGTGAAAGCCACATATTACACATCACTGTTAACCAATCTTCCCTCAATATCCCTCTCCTCTCCTTGGGAGCATCACTGGCTTGGACCCCAGATCCTTAATTCTCTCTCACACCCAGGGTCACCAGTACTCACTCAGAGGGCTCTGACATGCCCATTAGGCTTTGTGTATCCAACTTCTCTCTTGGAAAGTCATTTCAGAGTCAGAACTGCTGCAGCTGCACCTCCAGACTCTTTACACTCTGACCAACCATACTCTAACACAGGGGTGACTGACAACTCCTGGGGCCCCCGGGCAATAGGGGATCATGGGGCTCCTGTGTCCTTGCTCAAACTCAAAAAAGCCTATGAAAAAGGTACCAGGGGCATCTCATGGGGCCCCCTACTGACCCCGGGCCTGTGGGCAGTGCCCGAGTTTCCAAATGGTCAGTCCGCCCCTGCTCTAACAGGACATCAGATCAAGATGGCCAAGAAAGGACTTGGGGAACTGAAACCATTTAAGCAGAGGTAAGTATTAATTCTGCTTTAGGATATTTACTATCAAACATGTTATTTATTTAGTACAAGCCTGTACAGTACATAACACCACCAACCTACTCAGCATATCTACATTCCCATCAGTCCCTGCCCTCAAGGAGCTTACAATACACATACACCATATTGCCAAAAGTATTGCCCCACTGTCCAAATCATGCTATTCAGGTGCTTCAATCCCCTCCATGGACACAGGTGTATACAATCAAGCCCCTAGGCATGCAGACTGCTTCTACAAACATTGGTGAAAGAATGGGTCGCTCTCAGGAGCTCAGTGACTCCAAGCGTGGTCCCGTGATAGGTGGCCACCTGGGCAATAAGTCCATCCGTGACATTTCCTGGCTACGAAATATTCCACGCTCAACTGTTAGTGGGATTATAACAAAGTGGAAGCAACTGGGAACAACAGCCACTCAGCCACCAAGTGGTAGGCCACGTCACATGACAGGGCGGGGTCAGCGCATGCTGAAGCGCACAGTGCGCAGAAGTCGCCAACTGTCTGCAGAGTCAATAGCTAAAGACCTCCAAACTTGGTGTGGCCTTCAGATGAGCCCAACAACAGGGCATAGAGAGCTTCATGGAATGGGTTTCCATGGCCGAGCAGCTGCATCCAAGCCTTCCATCACCCAGTGCAATGTAAAGCGTCGGATGCCGTGGTGTAAAGCACGCCGCCACTGGACTCTAGAGCAGTGGAAACGTGTTCTCTGGAGTGACCAATCACGCTTTTCTGTCTGGCAATCCGGTGGATGTGTCTGGGTTTGGCGGTTGCCAGGAGAACGGTACTTGTCTGACTGCATTGTGCCAAGTGTAAAGTGTGGTGGAGGGGGGATTATGGTGTGGGGTTGTTTTTCAGGGGTTGGACTTGGCCCCCTAGTTCCAGTGAAGGTAACTCTTAAGGCAACATTTTGGACAATTTCATGCTCTCAACTTTGTGGGAAGAGTTTGGGGATGGCCCCTTCCTTTTCCAACATGACTGCGCACCAGTGCACAAAGCAAGGTCCATAAAGACATGGAGGTGCCAGTTTGGGGTGGAGGAACTTGACTGTCCTGCACAGAGTCCTGACCTCAACCCCATAGAACACCTTTGGGGATGAATTAGAGGGGAGACTGTGAGCCAGGCCTCCTCCCCCGACATCAGTGCCTGACCTGACAAATGTACTTCTGGAAATATGGTCCAACCTTCCCATAGACACCCTCCTAAACCTTGTGGATGGCCTTCCCAGAACAGTTGAAGCTGTTATAGCTGCAAAGGGTGGGGCCAACTCAATATTGAGCCCTACGGACTAAGACTGGGGGGCCATGGAAGGTCATGTGTGTGGAAAGGGCGGGGCCAACTCAATATTAAACCCTACGGACTAAGACTGGGGGGCCATTAAAGGTCATGTACGTGGAAAGGGCGGGGCCAACTCAATATTAAACCCTACGGACTAAGACTGGGGGGCCATTAAAGTTCATGTGCATGGAAAGGGCGGGGCCAACTCAATATTGAACCCTACGGACTAAGACTGGGGGGCCATTAAAGGTCATGTGCGTGGAAAGGGCGGGGTCAACTCAATATTGAACCCTACGAACTAAGACTGGGGGGGGCCATTAAAGGTCATGTACGTTGAAAGGCAGGCGGCCCAATACTTTTGGCAATATAGTGTTCATACAAGCACCCATACTAGAGCCAACTACCCACCAGAACGTATTTGGAGAGTGGAAGGAAACCCATGCAAGCACATGGATCACATGCAAACTCCATGCAGATGCTGTCTTGGATGGAATTCAAGCTGAGACCCTGGTGCTGCAAGGCCGAAGTGCAAACCACTAAGCCACTGTGCCAACCCGTGTTGGGTCAGCTTGTGATTTAGTACTTACCTGTCTGTGGAAGTATCCTATAATTCCACTTGAAACAATGTCAAATCCAAAAAGATAACATTTATTATATTGCAGTTTACCAGTGCTTAGATGTGGCGGCTGCATTCATTTTCTTTTTTTGGGCTTTTCTTCCTTTATTTTCACCAGGTGATCCAGCCAGTAAGTCTGTTGTTTTTCAACAGAACAAGCTGCCCTGCAGTTGTAACAGTTAGAGGGTTGAGACAAGCCATTTGCCTCTGACAGGGGTGCCTACAATGATAAACTTGTGTTTATTTATATAAAGTCTTTATCCCAAAAGGAAAAAAACCTGTTTCTGTAACTGATTATTATTTATTTCAGGTACTTTTATAGCGCCATCAATGTACGCAGCGCTTTACATATATATTGTACATTCACATCAGTCCCCGCCCCCCGAGGAGCATGCAGTCTGAGGTCCTTAACTCACATTCATACATACACATACTAGGGCCAATTTAGACAGGAGCCAATTCACCTACCAGCGTGTCTTTGGAGTGTGGGAGGAAACCCACGCAGGCACAGGGAGAACATGCAAACTCCAGGCAAGGTGGTGCTGTGGTTGGGATTTGAACCAGTGACCCCAGTACTGCCAGGTGGAAGTGCTAAACCATTTAGCCACTGTGCTTAGGCCTGGTTCACACCAATGCAATTTTTTTTGTGCTTTTTATAGAAACGCACTACAGTCCATATAACATGGTTTCCTATGGGACATTTTCACATCTATGCTTTTTTGAGCTACTGCGTTTCTGGAAAGGGTCAGTGACTTTTTTTGATCGCAAAAAGTGGGGGTTTGCTACAATGAAGTTCAATGGAGAAGCTGCTGAAACGCATGTAGTGCGTCTTTGTCGCGTTTTGCCTTTTTATTCTGCCCAGCAACAAAAAAAAAATCCACTTTAACAAAAAAAAAAAAAAGCTGAAAAAACGCAAAACATGGCAAAGACGCTGCAAATACATGACTGGAAGAGAAACGGACAAAAAGCACAATACGTTGGTGTGGACCAGGCCTTATAAAGTATTTGCTGGAATATGGATTCAATTTGTTAGTGTATCTAAATCTGCTAGTCCTTCTAACATTCCCCGCCCCCCAGACTGACAATGCTGCTGTCCAAAGATGCCCCCTTTGCTCCTTCATCCAGAGTGGGGGCGCTCTAACACAGAAGGTGTGTTTACCCAAATCATTCCCGCCCCCCAGACTGACAATACTGCTGTTCTAAAGATGCCCCCTGTGCTCCTTCATCCAGAGTGGGGGGCGCTCTAACACAGGAGGTGTGTTACCCAAATCATTCCCCGCCTCCCAGACTGACAATGCTGCTGTCCAAAGATGCCCCCTTTGCTCCTTCATCCAGAGAGGGGGCGCTCTAACACAGGAGGTGTGTTACCTAAATCATTCCCCGCCCCCCCAGACTGACAACGCTGCTGTCCAAAGATGCCCCCTGTGCTCCTTCATCCAGAGTGGGGACGCTCTAACACAGGAGGTGTGTTACCCCAAATCATTCCCCGCCTCCCAGACTGACAATGCTGCTGTCCAAAGATGCCCCCTTTGCTCCTTCATCCAGAGAGGGGGCGCTCTAACACAGGAGGTGTGTTTACCTAAATCATTCCCCGCCCCCCAGACTGACAACGCTGCTGTCCAAAGATGCCCCCTGTGCTCTTTCATCCAGAGAGGGGGCGCTCTAACACAGGAGGTGTGTTACCTAAATCATTCCCCGCCCCCCGACTGACAATACTGCTGTCCAAAGATGCCCCCTTTGCTCCTTCATCCAGAGTGGGGGCGCTCTAACACAGGAGGTGTGTTACCTAAATCATTCCCCGCCCCCCAGACTGACAACGCTGCTGTCCAAAGATGCCCCCTGTGCTCCTTCATCCAGAGTGGGGGGCGCTCTAACACAGGAGTTGTGTTACCCAAATCATTCCCCACCCCCCAGACTGACAATGCTGCTGTTCAAAGATGCCCCCTGTGCTCCTTCATCCAGAGTGGGGGCGCTCTAACACAGGAGGTGTGTTACCCAAATCATTCCCCGCCCCCCAGACTGACAACGCTGCTGTCCAAAGATGCCCCCTGTGCTCCTTCATCCAGAGTGGGGGCGCTCTAACACAGGAGTTGTGTTACCCAAATCATTCCCCGCCCCCCAGACTGACAATGCTGCTGTCCAAAGATGCCCCCTTTGCTCCTTCATCCAGAGAGGGGGCGCTCTAAACACAGGAGGTGTGTTACCTAAATCATTCCCCGCCCCCCAGACTAACAATACTGCTGTCCAAAGATGCCCCCTTTGCTCCTTCATCCGAGTGGGGGCGCTCTAACACAGGAGGTGTGTTACCCAAATCATTCCCCGCCCCCCGACTGACAATACTGCTGTCCAAAGATGCCCCCTTTGCTCCTTCATCCAGAGTGGGGGCGCTCTAACACAGGAGGTGTGTTACCCAAATCATTCCCCGCCCCCCAGACTGACAACGCTGCTGTCCAAAGATGCCCCCTGTGCTCCTTCATCCAGAGTGGGGGCGCTCTAACACAGGAGTTGTGTTACCCAAATCATTCCCCGCCCCCCAGACTGACAATGCTGCTGTCCAAAGATGCCCCCTGTGCTCCTTCATCCAGAGTGGGGGCGCTCTAACACAGGAGGTGTGTTACCCAAATCATTCCCCGCCCCCCAGACTGACAATGCTGCTGTCCAAAGATGCCCCCTTTGCTCCTTCATCCAGAGAGGGGGGGGCGCTCTAACACAGGAGGTGTGTTACCTAAATCATTCCCCGCCCCCCAGACTGACAACGCTGCTGTCCAAAGATGCCCCCTGTGCTCTTCATCCAGAGTGGGGGCGCTCTAACACAGGAGGTGTGTTACCCAAATCATTCCCCGCCCCCCAGACTAACAATACTGCTGTCCAAAGATGCCCCCTTTGCTCCTTCATCCAGAGTGGGGGCGCTCTAACACAGGAGGTGTGTTACCCAAATCATTCCCCGCCTCCCAGACTGACAATGCTGCTGTCCAAAGATGCCCCCTTTGCTCCTTCATCCAGAGAGGGGGCGCTCTAACACAGGAGGTGTGTTACCCAAATCACCAGATGAAATCAGAGGGAAAAAAGCCTAAAACATAACCAAAATATATGACATTTTTGTTTTTGGGTTTCAGTTTTTTGCTATGTCTTAGATAACTTGCCGCCTCCATCACAAAGGGAATAATCACTGACAATGCTTAAATCTGAGATATTCAGAGTACTGATTCACAAACACGGTGACAGTCGCAGGTAATTGTTGCTGCTCCATAATTTACAAGTGATAATGGGCTCACAGCGCATAAATCCGCCCCGGAAACTGGGACGAGGATGAATAACTTCACAGGTGCTCTCACCTTCCCATTATCTCCTCCCTGCTTTTCATCAAGGTATAATGTATCGAAGGAGGACAAACTTTTACCAGATTTTTGAGTTTCATACAACTACATATAACGAACAAAATGTAACTATATAAATATATGAAATATATATACACACGGCTCAAAAAAATTAAAGAAACACTTTTTAATCCGAGTCTAGCATCAAGTCAATGACACTCCTGGGATATGGATCTGGTCAGGTAAGTAGCAGAGGGGGTTGTCCATCAGTTTCAGCTGCTTTGGTGTTCATAAAACTAACAACAGGTGCACTAGATGGGCAACAATGAGATGATCCCCAAAACAGAAACGGTTTTACAGGTGGAGGCCACTTACATTTTTTCCCCTACTCATCATTTCTGACTGTTTTTCTCTAGTTTTGCATTTGGCTCGGGTCAGTGTCACTACTGGTAGCATGAGGCTATATCTGGACCCTACAGAGGTTACACAGGCAGTCCAGCTCCTCCAGGGTGTCACATCAATATGTACCATCGCCAGAAGGTTTGCTGTGTCTCCCAGCACAGTCTCAAGAGCATGGAGGAGATTCCAGGAGACAGGCAGTTACTCT